GATTGTTTGTTAGAGCTTAGAAGGAGAAGAATGCTTTCATATGTATTTTTCTATTGGTTTTTTAATTTACAATTTTAGTTTATATGCGCAGACCAACGATTATGACGTTTCTTCTTGTGGATCCATATGTACTTAAATCTCTCTTCACATTCATGTTATTCAGAGACATGAGCATTACAAATGATCATATCATCCAAAAAACGTAAACTACAATGTAAGTTTCATGTTTTGTTACTTTCTCTATGTTTTTCAAATAATTATTTGCTTATACACTAAAGAAAAAAAATCTTTAATCAATATTTTACTATAAAAGTTAGTATAACTTTTTATACATTTTATCAACTTTGTACTCAAATATGATTTATAAAATTTATCATATTATAAAATGTATATCCTATAAATTCATATATGTAAACTATATATTTATTTTTTGTTATCTTTTGTTTTTGTCATCATAAACTATATAGTTCTATGTCAATTATAATATAACTTAATAAAATTTATCACATAATAAATTATGTATATAATTCAGAGTTAGAATATGATATGTGTAACATTTTTGTATATATTTCTAATACTAATGTTAGAATTAAATCGGTTAAATACAAATTTCTATAATAAATATAAGTGATAAAACATAATTATTATATATTTCTAGAGATTTACAATATATCAAAATCAAAACTATTTATTATTCTTTAATTTTATAACCATATTATGGTATTAGGAAAGATATACCTTGTTGGTAAAGGCTTTTAATTAGTTAATTCGTTTATTAATAACTTGCCTTATTTTATTATCAATTACTTGCGCAAGTTGATACGATGATTACCTTATTTTTCCATCAGTTACTTGTCTTAAATGGTTTTATACATTTAATTAACTTTGTACTCAAATATGATTTTATACAATTTATGATATTATAATATGTCTATCCTATAAATTCATATATGTAAACTATATATTTCATTTTTGTCATTTTTTTGTCATCATAAACTATATAGTTCTATGTCAATTATAATATAACTTTATACAATTTATCACATAATAAATTATGTATATAATTCAGAGTTAGGATATGATATGAGTAACATTTTTGTATATATTTCTAATACTAATGTTAGAATTAAATCGGTTAAATACAAATTTCTATAATAAATATAAGTGATAAAACATAATTATTATATATTTCTATAGATTTACAATATATCAAAATCAAAACTATTTATTATTCTTTAATTTTATAACCATATTATGGTATTAGGAAAGATATACATTGTTGGTAAAGGTTTTTAATTAGTTAATTCGTTTATTAATAACTTGCCTTATTTTATTATCAATTACTTGCGCAAGTTGATACGATGATTACCTTATTTTGCCATCAGTTACTTGTCTTAAATGGTTTTATACGTTTTATCAACTTTGTACTCAAATATGATTTTATACAATTTATCATATTATAAAATGTATATCCTATAAATTCATATATGTAAACTATATATTTCTTTTTTTCATCTTTTTTGTCATCATAAACTATATAGTTCTATGTCAATTATAATATAACTTTATACAATTTATCACATAATATAATTCAGAGTTAGGATATGATATGAGTAACATTTTTGTATATATTTCTAATACTAATGTTAGAATTAAATCGGTTAAATACAAATTTCTATAATAAATATAAGTGATAAAACATAATTATTATATATTTCTATAGATTTACAATATATCAAAATCAAAACTATTTATTATTCTTTAATTTTTTTATAACTATATTATGGTATTAGGAAAGATATACCTTGTTGGTAAAGGCTTTTAATTAGTTAATTCGTTTATTAATAACTTGCCTTATTTTATTATCAATTACTTGCGCAAGTTGATACGATGATTACCTTATTTTGTCATCAGTTACTTGTCTTAAATGGTTTTATACATTTTATCAACTTTGTACTCAAATATGATTTTATACAATTTATCATATTATAAAATGTATATCCTATAAATTCATATATGTAAACTATATATTTCTTTTTTGTCATCTTTTTTGTCATCTTTTTTTTGTCATCATAAACTATATAGTTCTATGTCAATTATAATATAACTTTATACAATTTATCACATAATAAATTATGTATATAATTCAGAGTTAGAATATGATATGTGTAACATTTTTTTATATATTTCTAATACTAATGTTAGAATTAAATCGGTTAAATACAAATTTCTATATTAAATATAAGTGATAAAACATAATTATTATATATTTCTATAGATTTAAAATATATCAAAATCAAAACTATTTATTATTCTTTAATTTTATAACCATATTATGGTATTAGGAAATATATACCTTGTTGGTAAAGCTTTTAATTGGTTGATTTGTTTATTAATAACTTGTTTTATTTTATTATCAATTACTTGCGTAAGTTGATAAGATGATTACCTTATTTTGTCATCAGTTACTTGTCTTAAATGGTATGTTAATTATTGCAAATTTATAACAGTCAATTTTTAATATCTTTCTTTAATTGCTTCATGTTTATTAAAAGAAAACAAATATTACAAGAACCATAAGACTTTATATATCTCAAGAAATGTCTTTACAAGAATTTTTATAACAAATGTTTCAGGAACCATAAGACTTAATGATAAAATATGATTATTAATTCATAATTATTCTTTAAATTTGATATATTCTGAATTTTTTATTATATATAATTCTAAACAAAATAATCTTTTTAGGAAGTATTTTTTTAAATATACATTTAATTGACAAATTTAAAAGTTAAATTTTTTGTGAAAATATATGTCTATTAAGTAAATTTCTTGTTCTTTTATGATGTCATTTATTAGTAACTATATACATCTGATATTGCATGAATGTGTATGTTCTTTATTTCCTAATTAGTTAATTCGGAAATATGATGATTACCTTATTTTGCTATCAATTACCTTGGACAAATTTATATGATAATGGTGATTTGAGTTAGAAAAGCCTAAAACTATTATCCATTTAGAAAACCACAAATATAATGCTGATTTGAGATTTAGAAAATCCAAAACTATTATCTTAATTATATTTATATATATATATATAAATATGGATCTTCAATATTATTTTCGTCTCGATAAAATTTAGAAATCTATTAAATTATTTTATATTGTACAATTGCTAAAAAAATTGACAATTTTTTGCAGGTTTCTATGGGATTTTTTTATTCATAAATGTTCTTTTTATTTTATATTACTTATGAATTATATTTAAACTTTCATCACATTTTCTATGGGATTGTGATATCTATGAGATTTTTATCACATTTTTAATATGTCACTGTCTCCTGTATATCTTACTTACATTTGTCTTTTTAATAGTTAACTTTTATTAAAAACATACTAATGATGTTAATTTTTTTTTTACTTTGGTTAACTTTCATTTGTTTTATTCTTATATACTTTTTGTGACTTTTTTAGTAATTGTTTCAGTTTAATATTGAATTTAGTTCACATATTTTTTGTGTATATATTTTAAAACATAATTTTTCTTTTAAAAAATTAAGCGACAAAGAGCCTAATTAAACCGATCCAAAAACAAACCGAACTGAATATAAATTGAACTGGACATAAACCACACCGAACCAGACTAAATAAGGTTTATTTCAGTTGAAAAAAAAAANGAACTGAATATAAATTGAACTGGACATAAACCACACCGAACCAGACTAAATAAGGTTTATTTCAGTTGAAAAAAAAAATATTAAAACCGAACTAAACAAACCAAACCGAAAATGTAACGATTTGCCCACCTCTACTGCATCCTAAAGATTTGCGCAAATCTTGTCTCAGCATTGAAACTCTCACTTGTTCCACTAAGTCTCACATTTGAACTCAATAGATAATTCTGTCTTAGCATTATACTATATTTTTATACACACACAGGGTGCGGGTGGGTCACCTAGTATTCCTTAAATCGTGCTCATATCACAACATATATATCATCTATTTATTGTTTATAAAATATAGATATATTCTTTTACTTTTTTTTAACAGCAAAATGTAAACTAGGTAGGTTGTCCTACCGGTCGGACATTCAAAGCGAAGATATGAAAAAAACAATATCAAATCTAAAATTAGGAAAGTTGTTATTTTATTGGAATTTATGTGTTAATATATGCAAGTCGCCCAAAATGTATGCTCTATAAACAAATATATTTGGAAAATGGTAAGTTTTATAGAAACAAAAAAAAAATCAAATGACTTATGTAACATACTATTTTAGTTGTTTGAACATCAACACATATCACCAACAAATACAATTTACAAAATAAAAATAAAACAATAAATAACTAGAATTATAAAACATAAAAAGTAAAAAATATCCCCGTGGTTGCGCGGATTAAAGTCTAGTTTTTATGTTAAATTATTAAATTTTCTTAGAGAATATTTGTTATTTTAAAATGTGTCGAAAATTATTGTGTGGATGTCATATAAGTTCATATTGTATAAAATTGAGGTTACGCTTTTCATAATTTTTTATAAGATCCTCAAATAATATGTTTTTTGATAAGAGGTCTAATATGGACATACAGCAAATTGATCCATATATAAAAGGCTTCAAAAGTTAAGCAACAAAAAACATATTGGGCTTCTCAAAAGCGGATAGCCACCCAAAAAGGCGCGTGAGAAATAAGAAAGAGTAGAGTGACAGTCGCTAAACTAATTCGATAATTCCGAGGAACAACCATCTTCTCTTCCCCTTAAATCCCATCTCTGCTCTCTCGCGAGCATTGTTATTCACGAAAACATGTCTCGTCTTCTCCACACATCCTTCCTTCCTTCTCTTCACTCCAAAACCCGATCCTCCTCCGTTCCTCGTTTCCGTGTCAACAAGCCACGAATCGTCCCCGTCCGAGCGAAGATCCGAGAGATCTTCATGCCTGCCCTCAGTTCCACCATGACCGAAGGCAAAATCGTGTCCTGGGTTAAATCCGAAGGCGACAAGCTCAGCAAAGGAGAGAGCGTTGTGGTCGTCGAGTCCGACAAGGCCGATATGGACGTCGAGACTTTCTACGACGGTTATCTCGCTGCAATCATGGTCGAACAAGGTGGTGTCGCTCCCGTTGGATCCGCCATTGCCTTGTTAGCTGAGACCGAGGAAGAAATTGCCGATGCTAGGGCTAAAGCTTCCGGAGGTGGAGGCAGTTCTCCATCTCAGCCTATATCCGAAACACCTGCGGTTGTTGAGATGACCGTTTCGGCTTCGGTTCCTCCGCTGAAAGCTGCGTCTGCTTCTGCATCTGCAGTGCATCCTGCGTCCCAAGGAGGGAAGAGAGTTGTGGCGTCGCCTTATGCTAAGAAGCTAGCAAAGGAGTTAAAAGTTGAGTTGGCTGGTTTAGTTGGAAGTGGGCCAATGGGAAGGATTGTGGCTAAAGATGTTGAAGCCGCTGTAGCTGCTTCTCCACCTGTTAAAACGGAGGCTGCGATGGTGGCTCCTGGTGTTGAGCTCAGCTCGGTTGTTCCATTCACGACGATGCAAGGTGCCGTGAGCAGGAACATGGTTGAGAGCTTGTCTGTTCCTACTTTTAGAGTTGGATACACAATCAACACGGATGCTCTTGATGCTCTCTACAAGAAGGTGTGTTTCTGTTGCTTGACATGATTAAAAGTTGGATCTTCCCTTGATTCTTATTGTAAGCAGTTAGAGAGCCAACTGGTTGATGGGATTGCTTAAAAGGAATTTAACTTTGGGATGATTAGTATAGTTGAACAAGATTGGAGCTTAAGGGTTAGAGTTCTATGCAAGTTTAGCATCTTTAAGTAACAACCTTGTTTGATCCGTTGAACTGTTTTTCACTGATCTGCAATTTTTCCTGTAAGGTGGTTAAAAATGGTGAGAGAAAGAGATTATGTGAGATAGATTGAAAGTATATATGTACGACTGGTTCCAACCTGCAAGTGTTATTGATATTCTTTTCTGTTTGATTGGCTTATAGATTAAGTCCAAAGGAGTGACGATGACGGCACTACTAGCAAAGGCAACTGCACTTGCACTGGCAAATCATCCAGTTGTAAATTCTTCCTGCAGAGATGGTAGCAGTTTTGTGTATAACAGTAGCATCAACATTGCTGTTGCTGTTGCTATTGATGGTGGTTTGATCACTCCTGTGCTTCAGAACGCCGATAAGGTGTGCTTTTGAAAAAGTTTTGAGTTTACTCCGTCTTTGAAACCGGTATCCATTGGATTGTTCTAACCCTTTTTTTTTTTGTAAACAGGTTGACATTTATACATTGTCTAGAAAATGGAAAGAATTGGTTGATAAGGCCCGAGCCAAGCAGCTGCAGCCTCAGGAGTACAACACTGGTAAACTTGATAGTATAATAGTTTGATCAGATGTAAAGAGACCGTTTGAGCCTTGTTTCTTATTCCTTCTGGGTAATTTCAGGTACTTTCACTCTCTCTAACCTCGGAATGTTTGGTGTTGATCGGTTTGATGCAATTCTTCCCCCTGGAACTGTAAGTGCTTTTCCCTTAATGCAATTCTAGCTTGTTTAAACTATTGAGTCTAGTGCCTAGAAATTCTGGTTAAGAAATAACAGATCATTCATTTTCTCATTTGTGATCAATGAAGGGGGCGATTATGGCTGTAGGAGCATCACAACCTACAGTGGTTGCTACCAAAGACGGCCGCATCGGCATGAAAAACCAGATGCAGGTAAGAACTTGTTCCTCTTCTCTTTTTTGTCTTCTTGGAACAATCCCGACATGTCCTGGGAACTTGTTAATCATAGACTATTCACTTGCAAATCCACAGGTGAATGTGACGGCAGATCATCGTGTTATCTATGGTGCTGATCTCGCACAGTTCTTGCAAGCATTGGCCAGCATTATTGAGGACCCAAAGGACCTTACATTCTAGGGCAAATTACTGCTTTTTGCAACCCAATCTTCTCTGCTTTTGATTCCATGGGAGCTTGTATTTCTGCGGTAATCTGTTTCATTGATAGAGTTGACTTTTTTAAGAGTAATGTTGAACATACTCATTTGTTTGTTTGAGCTATCTCGTGCAACATTTGGCACATTGAAAGGCCTTAACAACATGATTTTGTTGCAGATTTTTTTTCATACAAATATCCATATTTCACTCCAATCATCTGGTATTCTTAGGTTTGATATTCATCTGATGAATCTGATATGGATCGATTGTTTTTCAACTACAAATTTGAATGCATGGATCCTCTTGTTTCTGAGCATCTCACAGATGGAGATGTAGATAATAGGCTGCCATAGAATACCTCTAGAAGCTTGCTTATATGTGCAGCAACAAGCAAAAAATTGACCTACTTTTTACTTACATTCTTGTGAGCATCCGTAGGAGTCTTTATGTTTGGCCTTGCTCCGGGAGAGAGGTTTATGAATGCACGTGCAATACTGAGGGCACGCAGCATCTACTTTGTTGCTACAGTTGATGTTTTGCTGCTGTTCGTTTGGTTGCCGCAGCGTCTGCGGCTGCGGCTGCGGCTGCGTCAATAAATTGTGTTCGTTTGATTAACGCAGGACTTGCGTCTAGACGCCGCGGGTAGACGCTGCGTCCGGCGTCACTGAAATTTTGACGCGAAAAAAATCAGCGTCTGAGTCAAGAAACTCGCGTCTATTTATCATATTTACATTTTTGCCCTTAAGCTTTTTTATTATTTACAACAAAAACATAACCTAATAGACGCAGCTTCTCCTCCATTGACGCAGCTCTCTCTTCTCCTCCATAGACGACTCATCTCGAGCTCTCTCCATCTCCCACGCATTTTGAGCTTGTCTCTCTCTCGTCTCGAAACTCTCTCTCGAAGCTCTCTCGTCTCAGACCTCTCCCAGGTAAGTTCTCCTCTGGACTCTCTCAGATCTCAAAGCTCTCCCGTCTCAAACCCTCCCAGGCTCACTAATCTATCTCTTCGGTTTCTCTTCAGATTCACGTAAGCTTCCTTTTCTTCGTACTCCTCTCTTTGACTTTCGATTTCAAATCTCCAGCTCTGTAGATGTTGGTTTTCGAATTATTTCTTATGGGTTTTAATCGCTATGTATGTTGCTTTGGGGTTGTCTTTGATTTGATCTGTGTAGCCTGAGATGATCTATCAATCCTTTGCAGGATAATAGTCTTTTCTCTTGAGATTTGGAAATTTAAGTTGTATTGTTTCTTATTTTATTACCCTCGATCCTTAGCTTTGTGGGTTTAGAAATTTGAATCCTTTGACTCTTATTGGAGACGGGAAGAGTGATCTTTGCAGGGTATTAGAGAGTCTTTTCTCTTGTTAGTGGAGAGGAGAAGAGTGATGTTTTTATTCTATCTCTGTGTTCTCTTGTTGGATGTTAATGGTATTTGTTCTTATTTTTTTGCCATGTCACTGTCTTCTTTGCAGGTTTGTGTAAAGACCTGTGTTTATGTTTGCGAACCAAGCTGGTTTAGACATGCTAGAGACAACACTTGTAACCTTACAAGAAATTACACTCGAAAAGATCTTTGATGAATCTGGTTGAAAGGCTCTGTGCTCAGATTCGTCAAGCTAATGTAGCAGGTAAAAAACAAAAAACAAAACCAAAAGAACTCTTTAGTTAGCAGAACATGCTTGAGACTCATTTGTCTGAGAATTGTACAGGGATATGCATGCTTACCTTCAGGAATCTGTATGTCTACGATAGGAAGACATGTGGCTTATGAACAAGCTGTTGCTTGGAAACTGTTTGCTGCTGCGCATCATCTGAAAACGACAACGCCAATGATAATACTTTGCATTGTCTTGCTTTCTCCTTTGTATGTTGTTTGTGTAATTTGTATTTTCTTGTGAGGTTATTACTTAGGAAGGCTAATCTACATTAGACAAACTTTTTGTTTTTGGTTGTGTAAGACGTCTGTTTGTCTCTTTCATCACTTTTCATTGTTTTTATTCTTGCTCAGGATTTTAAAGAGTCTTGGTATGATAAATCTATGTTATGAAAGAGACAATTTGCCATCTACTTTGGGTCAAAAGCTTTGTGAATGAAATCATTGGTGTTAATTAAAAGGTTACAAAACATTTGCTTTGTTGCCTTTAGACAGTTATATATCTCACTTATATTTATTTCCTTTCACACTGACAAAAAAAAAAAAAATTATTTCCTTTCTACCATATAGTAGTATATAACTAATTTAAAAAACAAAGTATCAATGGCAAAGTGATGATGATTGAGAAGGAAATATTTTAGTTAATGACATGATTTTTCTTTGCTTATACTTTTGTTTATCATTTCTATGTGATATTGAAATTTTTGCTTATAACTAAAAATTTATTATCAATTAAATATATTATTTTATGGATGTAAATATATTTAAACTATATTTTAGTTATTTAAAATATAATTCTAAAAATTTAAACTAACTTTTATTTAATTAAAATACAATTTTACAAATTTTTAAAATTAAAACATGAATTAAATGAAAATAGTCGCAGCGTCTGCCAAACGAACAGCATAAATCATTTTCTTGCGTCTGCGTCATGCGTCTGCGTCTTCTTGCGTCTATGAAACGAACAAAACTCTGCGGCTGCGGCTGAGTCTGCGGCTGCGGCTGCGTCAACGAAACGAACAACAAACAAATGAACAGACGCAGCCGCTGCCGCAGACTCAGCCGCAGCCGCGGCCGCAGAAACCTGCGGCAACCAAACGAACAGGGCTTCTATGATCAAGAATATTGTTGCACTGTTTTTGTTGGCTCGAATGGCTTTGCACCCACTTGGCAACTCTCTCTCTTCGCTGACAGGGGGCCTTCCGGTTAACAACTCGAAAGTATCACCCCAAAGTTGTAAACGTTATTGTCACCCTCATTGTGTAAGCATGCTCTGATGAAGAGATCAAAAGCGAAAGATTAAAAGAGCTCATGTTTCTCGGACAAGCTAAGTAAGGTTTTTGTATTATATGCTCACCTGGTGGAATGTTGCCGATGGTGCCTGCAACTGCCGAGAGGCTGTTATTGCTTGGAAGGATACCTCTAACCGTTCAAAGTCCCCTACTAGTGAATCAATGAGCGACCGGAGCATTATTTTCTTACTAGAGATATCTGGTAGAAGGATTAGATCACGACCGTTGGATTTGGATCCATGCAAGTATGCAAGTAAGCCAGTAGCTGATTCCTTGAGCAATTGCTATACTGTACCGTATCGTCCAATCAATCACATCGTTGGGATGGTTGCGTGAGAATAAAGAAAATATGAACTGAATGTGTGTATAAGAGAGTGGTAGAGAGTGAACATGCGAATGGTGAAGTTAGCGTGAACACGAGACTGATGAAGTATCAAGGAGAGTTAGGTAACTTGCTGACAGTATAATTAGAGAATGTTTGAGAATAAATGAGATTGATGGGAATATGAGTGAGATTCGTGAGTGAGGAGTGTGGGAGAATACTTCAACGAGAGAGTAGAGGCCTGGGCGTTTGGGGCCTCCGTCGGATTCGGTTCGGTTGATTTTGGTTTTCGGATTTTCGGTACCATGTGCATAAGTCCCATTCGGGTTTTACTAATTATCGGGTCGGGTTCGGTTCGGTTCTTCTAAGTTCAGTTCGGGATCGGGTTATAATCAATGTATAAGATTGTTCAAAAATATTTTTTAAAATTTAAAAAATTGTTAAAAAAATACTCAAAATATTTAAATTATTCACAAAACTAACTAAAAACAAGCCAAATTTATTCAAAATAACAAATAAAATAAACTATTAAAAATTTAAAATATTTTAAAACATCTAAATTTCCTTAACATATATAAAAATAGTAACATATTTCACTAATTTCGGATATAGTTGGATCCAAGTTTGGATTTTGGTTCGGTTCGGATTATACCCATACTCCAAAGTACCAAGCTCTCAAGTCTCATTCGGATATTCTTATATAACGGTTCGGATCCGATTTCGGTTTTTTCGATTCGGGTTTAGATTGAGAGTTCGGTATGGGGTAAAAACGCCCAGACCTACCAGAGAGTAGAGAATAACCTAGAGAATAATGAAGAAGAATGATTCATTCAACTTAGGTTTCCAACACTACAGAACACGGGATTAATGACCACACTTTACGACAACAAATGTGTGGTCGTAAATTAACATTGACATTATGTCTAACTTACGACTCCTGTAAAATTCATCATAATTTAGACATAATTTTACTACTAAAACAGCTTGTCGTAAAGGAGACGTAACATAGTCATAATGTTACGATTAACTTACATCGAATAGTTAGAATCTGATTAATGACCAACTTACAAGAGAAGCAGTTGTACATTAGTAGTTTATTTAGGATCAAACGTAAATTCGTTGTAGCATTGTTACCTACCAAAATCATAATTTTCCTACAAATATAATCTTTTCCCTCATTCTTAAGATGCACAAAAAAACAAAAAAGAGTAAAAAAAATGTCTGGAAATATCTGTGACTTTCGGAGTTGGATGTATGCGCATACAGATTCAAGGGGAAGAGTAAGAAACAAATTTCTCAGCAGAGATATTCATGTACCAGGCCGGACAAACGTCTCTCACACAGGACATGTAAAATGTTATGTCCCTGTCGTAAATGCAACAATACGAATTTTCCTGCTAGTGAAACGGTTTAGAAACATATAGTAAATAGAGGATTTACCACGGAGAGAATGATAAGAGGAATGAAGCTAGTAGTAGTAATCATGTTGAAAACGTTCGTAACAAAGAAGAACCACATTTGCCTTCTGAAAGTTACCTTCAAGAGGATCATATGGTAGATCATGATAGGATGCATGATATGGTTACAAATGCATTTCGTGAAACAACATCAGTAATAGAGGAGATAGAAAATGTAGAGGGGCCTAACCCACGATTTGGTTAGATGATGGAACCAAGCTACAATCTGAAATCAAAAGATAGGATTTTTATGAGTTTTTTATAATGCAAATAGAAACAAATATGAAGATGAATCAGAATGATAATATGAATAAAACCAAATAAAAAAAAGATAGATTGATGGAGATGGGATATTTGTTGCTGGACTTGAGTCACTCTCAACAAGGATCAATGGATGAAATATGGATGAAGGTGGAACCGGTCTTGCTGGACTAAAGTCTCTCTAAAGATCGAGGATGGAGATGGATTGATGGACGCCACAAAGCTCTGTGAAAGGAGGATCTGATAATTCAGGGTGCTCTGGAGATGCTTCTCAAAACTCTAAAGACTTAAGACAATAGTTTTAAGAAAACTAGAAAACTGATTTTTATTCATAAAGTTCAAAGATGAGTGCTTTACAATGAAACAAAGACAAAAGCTTTATAGGCTCGACAGAGACAGACTCTAAAAGTCATAAACTGGTAAAAAGAAAGAAACAAACTAGAAATCAAAAGCTTGGAAGCAAAGTCTTTGAAGACTCCATGGAATATTGCCTTTAGCTTGATTTATGCCTTCTTCCAAAAGAATTAATTGAGTATTGTATCTGGATAGCTTCTTGACGTGGCCATGATCTTCAAGCCATCCTGAAATACTCCTTGTCATTAACAAAAGAGAATATGGCCGTTGGTCTTGGGCAATCTTCAAAATCTCATTCAAGACATTGTGTAAATACTGTCTAATGAGGAAGATTGATGAAGAAAAAGATCCGCCTGATCTCCTGGGTTTTGGTGCATCTGAGGATGTCATGGATACCTTCTGAACGCTCTAGAGTATCTCCTGACTTCCATAGATAGGTTTAGGTCGGACCAAATCGAATTGGTGTAAGACTATCTCTAATTGATGTCGCTTTGAGCAATTGAGGTAAACCGGTTTTCACTTCTGGTTAGATTGGGATCCGCCTGATCATGTGTACTCTGGTGCTCCTTAAGATATTGTGGAGTGCCTCTGAATGACTTAGAAGTTCTCCTGGTCGCTCTTCTGGAAATTGAGACAAAACCCGGGTCTTCCTAATAAGACAAGTGTAGGACTGGTTTATCCGGTTTTGGAGAATTGATCATATCTTCTGATTTACTCGTTCCCTTCTCATGATTTTGGGATTTCTGGAAATCTGACAAACTCCTCTTGACCTCTATGACCGGATTTGACTGGGCCGTTCCTTCTTTGGGCTTGAAACTCCTTCTAAAGTTGGATGATGTTCGTAGATGAATGGGTTGGAAAACCTCTGTCTTGTAAAATTTCTAACTTCTCGGTCTGTGAAGATTTTCTTAAAATTAAAATTGCGATCGACTTCTGAGTCGAGGAAAATTATTTTTGTGATTAAAAACTTCCTGGTTTGTAAGATATGACATTAGTGCACATATGTTCTGCTTGGCGCCTTGGTTGGGTGAGTGAGGTGTTGGATGGACCTCCGGTTCAGCTTCTGGTTTTAGGGACACAACAGATGTGTATGGAAAAAAATTTCTTTTCATGAGTATATTGATACCTGGGCCAAAGCATCCGAAGAGGTCCCTGGATGTTTTTCTACAGCCTTTGATATTTCTTAATTTTTATTAAACATTGAACGTGTGAGTTTAATTAATTTGATTTTTTTAATATAGGCTGCCAAAGAAGGAGCACAACCATCTCTGGCCCGAATTTACTAGACAACACACCCGCATTCCGATGGCACTTTTGCACATCCTCAAGTAGTGAAGATCTACAACGATGTATAGGCTCGGATCCAGGAGGTCCAGACTCAGTTGTCGCAACAAAATCCGAAAGGTGCACTGGTCCAGCTTTCCACCCTTGAACAAGACAAAAATTTTGAGCAGGTAAAATATTCGATCTTTTAAATTTATGTTTATATACGTTATTAATTTTTAATTTAGTTTTTACATATATACTAATTAATTAATATCCATTCATTAATTGAAGGTTGTCCCGAAGAGAGGGGACGTATAGTTGGGATCGGAACTGTGAACGATGTCACAAGGGTGAGACCTGAACACGCTGCAAGAATGGAAGAAGATTCTTCTCTCCGGAGGGATTTGTCAGCTGCCAACCTAGTCATAACCGACCACAGGGACAAGTTTAAGGCTATGACAAATATGTTTGATCTGTTGATAGAGATAACA